AGAGAGACCTCTGGCACACATGCGCAAAGGGCGCCCCGTCCAGGCCGCCACCTCGTCTGTGCCGGGCGGGGTTGGCCAGAGCAATGCCCGGGGGGGAAGGGGGGGGTCGCTGTTATGTATTGAGATGTATATAACTGCCTTGTGAACTGTGCCATTGAGATGCCATGTTAAGCTTCGCCCTGGGCTAGGATCCTAATGTAACCAATAGGAGCCCTAGCCCAGAATATGTTTGCCAATCACCGTGCAGAGCGGGATCGCTTGTGATTGGTCCTTATTGCTTCAACCTCATAGGTTGCTTATTGTACAGTGGGTGTGGCTACATTAGCCGGGAATGTTTAAATATAGAGCAGCCAGTGTATGTGTTGGTTCGAATGATGGGTTCTGGCTGGCGATCGTTGTACCGTGTTCGGAGAAGTAACAGAGCTGAAGAATAAACCGCATTCTTGCTGAATCACTCTCCGACTTCTTTGTTAAGCGCACGACTTAACAGTCGCCCTCCGGAGGGACGCCGGGAGCCCCCCTCCTCTCCCCCCCCCCAAGCGGATGGTGGCGATGCAGCATCTTTGTCAGGAAACCCGAGGACGGGATCTACTGAAAGGAAGGACAGGATTGCCCACTGGAAACAATGGGAGACGCTGGAAGACCCATTGTAAATAATGGGAGCCATGCCAATTGACTTGCATGGGCTCCATGGGAAAACATTACAGCACAAGTAGAGTTGCAATAAAAATGCGGAATGGATTTTCCATTACACTTCCAAATACACTACTCTGGGGATGGAATGACAGGGCCACGGAGTGGAATGACAACCCCACGGAGGAGCAGGAGTGTTCAGGAACTGGAATGACAGAGCCACAGAGTGGAATGACGGCCCCAGGGTGTGACAGGAGTGTTCAGGAACAGGAATGACAGGGCCACGGAGTCGAATGACAGCCCCAGGGTGTCCCAGGAGTGGAATGAGAGCCCCAGGGTGTCCTGGGGCTGTCATTCCACTCTTGGCCCTGTCATTCCAGTTCCTGAAAACTCCTGGGTCACCCTGGGGCTGTCATTCCACTCTTGGCCCTGTCATTCCAGTTCCTGAACACTCCTGGGACACCCTGGGGCTGTCATTCCACTCTGTGGCCCTGTCATTCCAGTTCCTGAACACTCTGAAATTTTACAGGAAAGAGAAAACCTGATGTTTGAGAAGCCCTGTGATACATTGCTGTTTTGATTATATGTTCGTTTCAGTAGCACTGTTCCATTTTTCAGTTTTTGAAAAGGGAATGATACTTTTGTAACCAGAATGATGTATTTGTAGAAGTTGCTGGAGAAAGTATCACATTTGATTCATTGTTTTCAGGTGGTGCACTTGAAAACTAAGGGGACCAATATTAAAGTTTTTAACTGTTTTGAAAATTTTAAAAGGACAGGTCACTTAGTAGCATGACATTAAACAGAGAGCTGTCTAAAACTAACATAGCTTGGACTACGAAGGAAGCAAGTTACTTATATTAACTGTTCAATGAAGGTATAAAAGTATACATTGCAAACAGCCTGCTTGAAGCATTTCCTGGCTCCCATTATTTACAATGGATCTTCCAGTGTCTCCCATTGTTTCCAATGGGCAATCCTGTCCTTCCTTTTAGTAGACCCCCCAGACGATGGGCTGATTCTTTTTTATTATTATTTTTTTCGCGAAGCACAAGAGTGGCCAAGCGGCTAGAGGGACAGGCGGTGAAGTTTATAAGCCCAAAGTCCCCCTCAGAGCGCCTCCGCCTCTCGGGATCCAGCTGTGGGGGGGGGAGAGGGCATAGGGGGCGTGAGCACGCAGAGACACCAGCAGTGAAATCCGGCAGGGTCTGACTGGAGCAGAAATAAATTCTTTGAACAATCTCGAGGATGCTATTTTTAAGCCGGCAGCTGGGTTAGAAAAGCCTGCTCTGGGCCTAGAATGACAAACCCCACCCCCACCCCCGATTCCTGGGACTCACTTTATGGCAGGGTGACAGTTTCACGAGTCACTGCTCACTCATGAAAGCTCCTACCCTGCCACAAATTTTGCTAGCCTTTAAGGTTCCACTGGACTCTCTTTTCCAGGGCGACTCATCTTGATCTGATTCCCAGGAGTGGGACTGATGCTCCGGTTCTAGAATAACCACCCCCAGAGTGGAGTGACCTTCCACGAGAGCGGAATCAGTGCTCCGGGACTGGAGCGGCAGCCCCTAGAATGGAGTGAAATGCCCTGCATTTAATTGTTCCTGGCTGTTAGGCAATGATCCCCTAGCCACCTCTTCCGCCTCCTTAGCTATCCCGCTTCTCAGATGATCCGTTTCCTTCCAGGGTCCTGACATTTGTTATCAGGTGCCTCATTCTGCACTGTTGACAAGGATAAAACTTGCCTCCTCCCTCCCTCTCTTGTTCTCGAGAACTCCACTGTATCTGGGTCTGCTTTCTTCTTATTCTCCATGTTCCTGTTGCAATAGCATACCTTGCCTGACCTCCCTGGGCAGTTCTAACCACCATGTTTGGCCACTGGCCCACAGTCTGTGAAGAATCCCATCTCATAATCTAGGCAATGTGTACTTTCATGCGTGAAAATTTAAATAGATGCATTGCCTTTTAGCCCGCCAGGCCATCTGCCTGTCTTGGCCAGCACTCTCTGTCTCTGGTCCTCTAGCACCTCAGGCACAGGCGAGAAGTTCTCTGCTTCCTTCTTTTTTGACACCCTCTTCTGACCGCCATCTCCAGACACACACTCTTGCCCACCACTCCTTATATGGCAACCACAGGAAAGATTCGTAAATGAACATTTACCCATACAGTACCATTGTTGAACTAAACCGGTTTAATATGATCTCTATTGTGCACACGGTTTGCAAATGGGGAAGTGCTTTGGCAGTTTCATGGCGACGGGTGGGAGGCTAGCCGCATGATGACACCACCTGGAGCTGCCACTGGACCGCCTGGGCACGCTGACCCTCTGCTGACATCTTTCCCAGCTAATGACATAAGATACTGCATTCCTGGTTCTGTACATCAGCAGCCATGCAAATTTGCTGAAGCAGTTTCTAGGAGAAACCAGGACTCTGTTTTGTTCTGTTTTCCTTCCACATTCGAAATTCTGGCGCAAACCCATGTTTACTGCTGTCCAGTTTGTAGACCGCTCACCGTGCACGGCGCCAGCCTGCTCTCCTGAAATCACACTACAGGCATCCACCGTTCCCTCCACTCGGCAGGTATCTCTGCACCTCACACTGCCTGTGCCACCGGACGTCCTAAAAGGAATGGGTGCTGTTTGATGAACACGGTACAGCAGCTGACGAGAGGTCACCGTGTTGTTGTGAGTGATCCTTTGTGTTCTCATTAATATCATTATGCCCTCTGCCCAATTACATCCACTTAGAGAGTTGTCAGCTCTCGGTTGGGAAACCCCTGGAGATCTGGGGATACAGCCTGGGTAGGCCAGAGCTTGGGGCATAGCGCCAGAGAACCGACCTCCTGAAGCCGCCCTTCCCCCCCCCCCCCGGGGAACGGATCCCCCTTGTCTGGAGGGTCCGCTGTCACTCTGGGAGGACTGCTGGCCCCTCCACCCGGAGTTCTGAAGTGACAAAGAAGATGCAAATGGACCGTAACACGACGAGACCCGGTGGAACCTCACGTCTGATGCCTTCTTCAGGCCTCACAGAGGAAAATGTGAATGTCCACAAATGAAAACCATAAGAACAATAATTCCACTCAAGTTACAATCAAACATAAATCATCATAACAAAAGGTTTTATATAGAACTACCTATTGTCTTCAGTTTGTTGATACTCTATATCATTTCAAGAATTTTCATCAGATACAGCTGAAAAAGCCAGAATAAATTTATACAATAGTAACCGTAATAATAATAGAATAGAATGGTATAATTATATGATGGTAAATGTAAGATCCTCCAAGTACATCCCTTACCTCTCAGTTAATTGAGGGAGTTGCCAATCAAATTTTTACAAACGTGGCATTCAGCCTAACGAGATACACAGCTGGCATCATTCTCCTATCTGCCTACTGGAGAATCCCTTACTTATATACAACATAACAGTCCGTTTGCATCTTTGTCACTTCAAGGAGTATGTTGCCTTGTGGGGCATATGTTACACAGCTGATGTAATTTACAATTTGTTTTTCATTACATTGACTTTATACATAAGCATATGGAGTAGCGGTCCATCAGTGGCTATTAGCCATGAGCTATAGATAGGAACTCTGGGTCTGGGGCAAGTGATGCTCTGTATTCTTGGTGCTGGGGGGGGGGGGGGAAGAGTGGGAGGGCTTCTAGTGTCCTGGCCCCACTGCTGGACCGCCTGAGGGCACCTGGTATTTCTGGCCACGGTGTGACAAAGTGTTGGACTGGAGGGGCCATTGGCTTCTCTTATGTTCTTATCACACACAACTGATTGTAAAAAGTGTTAAAAGGAAACAGCTTTATATATAGTTTAACACATGGTGCTGTAGTTTTGATATTTAACCTTAATACACCATGGTCCTTTTGTTGTATTGCGCCAACCTGGAGTCTGGCAACCCTACAACCACTGTAGTGTAAATCAGCGTTACCCCGTATCAGTTTTCCCTGCTTCTTTCTCTCCTTCCGACATAACGGTCAACCTATCTTTTATCTTCAAGTATCTGAAGGGCTGTCATGTAGAAGATGGAGCAGATCTATTCTCTCTTGCTCTGGGGATTGAGATCTATTCTCTCTTGCTCTGGTGATTGAGATCTATTCTCTCTTGCTCTGGGGATTGAGATCTATTCTCTCTTGCTCTGGACTGAGCCCGGGGCCTTCGTGCTCCACCCCTGCACCACCGCACAGCGGAGGAAGGGCCGCCTGGGTGACTGCAGCTCATCTCCAGAGGAAACGCGCGGTGCCATTTTTAAAGCACCGCCCCCCCCACACCCCCTCACAAGAGACTTCAACGGGTGCGGACCCCCTTCCACGGCATCCCAAACCCTGCCAGCCAGGCACAAGGCCAATGAGCTGGACGAGACTC